ACAGTCCGGTGTTCTCTGCGCGGCCTGAGTGTGCGTGGCGCCAGATTTTTTTCCCCATCTTTTTTTAACCCCTGGATATCCAGGGGTCAAAAAAAAACTGCAGGGGGGGGAAGGCACCACACGCTTGGGCAGCGCATGCTGCTGAAGAGCGGAGCCATGCTCCTCTGCCAGCCAGGCTGCATGTGGCAGAATCGCTGTGGCTGCGGCCCCGGGAAGCCTCCAAAACCATAGATAAGGCCTACCCCACCTGGGGCAACTTGCCATAAACCAAAGTACCCATGACATGGGCATTCCCCAGGGACAAGTAGCTATGGCGCAAGGTGTGCTGCTGCTAGTTGTCCCTGGGGAACTAAATGTCTACTCACATCTGGACACGCCCAAAATGTATCTTATGTCAAATGGGAATCTGTGTTCTAGTATTGTTTTCCTGTGGAAAGGACAGCTTGATATTACCATGCTCTCTAACAAACTGACAAAAATATACGTTGGGATATTGATGGTGCGAACTATACATTGGTTTGGCTAGCAAGTGGAAAACTGATTTAAGGGACACATCCAGAGCCCATTAAAATTAATAGGAAGCTTGCCATTGACTTCAGTCAGGATTAGATTTGGTTTTAGTTATGCAAACAATTTAACAATAATTTGGATTGGTGGTTATCAAACTGTTCTGTGGAACCCTTGTGTTCCACAATCGGTTATAATAAGTTCTGTAAAGAGATTGGGGGTAATTACAGAGTGGGCCAGGAGGCAGTGTGCTGCCATTGCCAGGGTCAGCCTTCAAGATATAGAGGTAGGGGTTCTCCAGCAGAAGTGATATGAAAAGGATCCTAAGAAGTTGAAAACTACTGCTTTAAATAATGTTGGGGGGTGGGGAGAGAAGCAGGGGTCTTAAAAATATATAAAAATTTTGACTGTTTCTAGTAGCTTGGGGGTAATATTCAGTCCTTTTAAGGAAACGTCTGATCTGGTATTGGAAGAATGTTTGAGAATACTGAACTTGGCAAAATGTGACCTCCCCTGTGAATAGGATTAGCTGACTTGCACCACGCTACTGGTATTACTGAATGAAAGCATAGTAGACTGAGAAGACCAAAATAAACTCTTTAAGAAGGTTGATGATGATGTGCTACAGCTAATTTTTAAGGTGATTATTCCTTGCCTTTCTGGCTTTCCTGCTTCTGTGAGGGTAACAATAGTAAAATATGTATTAAGTTTCTACATGGTAGAGTGAAGATCTTATGTGAACTAAGTATTTAAAACCTAAAAATATGGAACACACAAGACAGATAAATCTACATCTTAAGTCTTTTCAGTTTTAGTTAAGGTCACACAGCCTACACACATCTCTTACAGGCTCTAGGTCTGTTGTTAAATGGTTGTATAGAAAGAGCATCATTTAAAATATATTTGGTGTGAACGCATTCTATAACGCTGTGTCCTGCTATTGCTAGATGCGTATGAAATCCGGTTTTGAAATACATTGCAATTAACTAAGGTAAGAAGTTTTCCTAAATGATCACCCCGTGGGGCACAGGCTCAAAACATAGCTGTCACATTGGCTCATCTGGAAAAGAGTGGATAGGCATTTTTACTGTTGCTAGATAAGAATGTGGAAAAAGCAACTGTCTAGAAATGTACAGATTGGTGCTGTGTGTGTGTGTTCTGGCCAGAGGCTGTCACAACCATTGACTATGGATAAAAAATGAGTAGAACAAGTTGGAGGAATGTGCTAGGACTGTAAAGATTGTAGCTTCCAGGCACCCCTTGGAAAATGCCACCTCTTAATTTCAGCTCCTTTTTTTTCCTGACTCCAAGCAAACAATGGAGCAAATCCCCTCCTCCTTTCTGGTGCAAAGACTTGGCAAGACCCTAGCAGGCCCAAAATGGGTGTAGTGCTGTGCATTCTCCTGAAAGATCCCTGGCTGTGCCTCTTGAGTCGTGTTGGTATGCCTGAGCGCAGCCCCTGCCTGGCACCCTAAGGTCCCTTTAGGCTTGTGTGGTTGCGGCTGGCTGCCCTGTTGGGATGTCTATAGGACTGGAAAATCTTCTGTGCTTTAGAATTGCTGGTTGTAGCCGTGTTGGTCTAAGGACACAGGCAGACAAGGTGCTTTGGGCAATGTGATAGCTCTTATTAGGCCAACTAAATAGCTAGGAAAATTGTTCTTTGCAAGCTTTCGGGTACCAGCACCCATGTTCAGGAATAGAAAGGCTGCTTATGCCTGAACAAGGGTGTTGGTACCAAGGGACACATCCAGAGCCCATTAAAATTAATAGGAAGCTTGCCATTGACTTCAGTCAGGATTAGATTTGGTTTTAGTTATGCAAACAATTTAACAATAATTTGGATTGGTGGTTATCAAACTGTTCTGTGGAACCCTTGTGTTCCACAATCGGTTATAATAAGTTCTGTAAAGAGATTGGGGGTAATTACAGAGTGGGCCAGGAGGCAGTGTGCTGCCATTGCCAGGGTCAGCCTTCAAGATATAGAGGTAGGGGTTCTCCAGCAGAAGTGATATGAAAAGGATCCTAAGAAGTTGAAAACTACTGCTTTAAATAATGTTGGGGGGTGGGGAGAGAAGCAGGGGTCTTAAAAATATATAAAAATTTTGACTGTTTCTAGTAGCTTGGGGGTAATATTCAGTCCTTTTAAGGAAACGTCTGATCTGGTATTGGAAGAATGTTTGAGAATACTGAACTTGGCAAAATGTGACCTCCCCTGTGAATAGGATTAGCTGACTTGCACCACGCTACTGGTATTACTGAATGAAAGCATAGTAGACTGAGAAGACCAAAATAAACTCTTTAAGAAGGTTGATGATGATGTGCTACAGCTAATTTTTAAGGTGATTATTCCTTGCCTTTCTGGCTTTCCTGCTTCTGTGAGGGTAACAATAGTAAAATATGTATTAAGTTTCTACATGGTAGAGTGAAGATCTTATGTGAACTAAGTATTTAAAACCTAAAAATATGGAACACACAAGACAGATAAATCTACATCTTAAGTCTTTTCAGTTTTAGTTAAGGTCACACAGCCTACACACATCTCTTACAGGCTCTAGGTCTGTTGTTAAATGGTTGTATAGAAAGAGCATCATTTAAAATATATTTGGTGTGAACGCATTCTATAACGCTGTGTCCTGCTATTGCTAGATGCGTATGAAATCCGGTTTTGAAATACATTGCAATTAACTAAGGTAAGAAGTTTTCCTAAATGATCACCCCGTGGGGCACAGGCTCAAAACATAGCTGTCACATTGGCTCATCTGGAAAAGAGTGGATAGGCATTTTTACTGTTGCTAGATAAGAATGTGGAAAAAGCAACTGTCTAGAAATGTACAGATTGGTGCTGTGTGTGTGTGTTCTGGCCAGAGGCTGTCACAACCATTGACTATGGATAAAAAATGAGTAGAACAAGTTGGAGGAATGTGCTAGGACTGTAAAGATTGTAGCTTCCAGGCACCCCTTGGAAAATGCCACCTCTTAATTTCAGCTCCTTTTTTTTCCTGACTCCAAGCAAACAATGGAGCAAATCCCCTCCTCCTTTCTGGTGCAAAGACTTGGCAAGACCCTAGCAGGCCCAAAATGGGTGTAGTGCTGTGCATTCTCCTGAAAGATCCCTGGCTGTGCCTCTTGAGTCGTGTTGGTATGCCTGAGCGCAGCCCCTGCCTGGCACCCTAAGGTCCCTTTAGGCTTGTGTGGTTGCGGCTGGCTGCCCTGTTGGGATGTCTATAGGACTGGAAAATCTTCTGTGCTTTAGAATTGCTGGTTGTAGCCGTGTTGGTCTAAGGACACAGGCAGACAAGGTGCTTTGGGCAATGTGATAGCTCTTATTAGGCCAACTAAATAGCTAGGAAAATTGTTCTTTGCAAGCTTTCGGGTACCAGCACCCATGTTCAGGAATAGAAAGGCTGCTTATGCCTGAACAAGGGTGTTGGTACCCGAAAGCTTGCAAAGATCAGTTCTTCCAACTATTTAGTTAGTCTAATAAAAGATACCGCATTGCCCAAAGCACTCTGTGTGTTTGTAGGAAGGAAAGGAATCCAGGGCAGGTGCTTGTTGCCTATGTGGTATTTGCTGCCGGTGGGCACCCCAGTCTTCCTATGTATGACCCGTCTCCTTTCTCAGTGTACCAGGGCTGGGAGGCTTGAGGGTGCCTCTGGCCTGACAAATCAGGGGCTAGGGGGGCTGTGGCTTCGCTCCCCATCCTTTCTCTCCCCCGCCCCTTGCCAGGTGCAGCAGGCGCCCTGCTGTCAGCAGCCTAGAGGCAAGAGAGGGAAGCCTGTGCCGGCCGGCCGGCCGGGGCGTGCGGCGGCCCGGCCGGCG